TTACAAATTATCCTGGAGGGTTCTCTAAAGCCCTGCTTAAATATTGTCGCTTGCGCCCCTATAGTATATGGTTACGGGCCTTTATAGATTCATTCCCCGGGTTCAATTCCCAGGTCTCGTAAACTCCTGGTTCTTACCACTCCTTACACGCTATGTGCCGATATACGGCCTACTTCCCACTGTCTATACTGCTTCTAGTTGTTAAATCAAACATCCTCGACAATGCTAACTCCTCCGGATGTATTTCCAATAAATTGTATATTGATATATATTGATAATTAATCGACTCTTAGGTTAAAGCCACAATTGTGAGGAATAAGCATCTTTAGTTGGGTAAAATATTGGTCAAGCCGAATTTGATGGCACTTTTTCGTCACAAATATGGAAAAATATATCCATAGTGAGGAACGATGGTTGTTATCGTCGAATAGTCATTATCAATCACATGTGTACTTTGGCCTGTGGTGTTACTGATGAGAAAGAAGGTTTTGGTGGTAAAGGACACATTTTACTCGTTGATTGGCTTATTGCTTGTTTAATTATCTTGACTTTTAATCATTCAGATTTTTATCCAATGATAATATGTTTAAAATGCTAAACTAACAAAATACCTCGTTGTAACAAGCTTCCAACATACGATCTTTAAAAATTCTTATAAAATTACAAGACAATTAAATGTAATAAAGAGTTTAAGTAAGTGAATGTTGTTCGTCTTCCCTTGTTGGCACAACTATCATTGTTGTAACTTGTCTGATTCCATCAGTAGGTGTGAAGCTATGTTCCACTTGCACCTTGCAATATACGGTAGGTCATATACCTCAGTGTATTGTAACACCCTGTACATTGTGTCAAGGAGCGATCGCCAGATCTAATTACATCCATTGTTGCAGCATAGTTTATGGTGCAGGCCTCATCATGGGGCTAATGGAACCCTCAATGGTGTCTACACAACCGCCAATGCTGCCCTAATTATTATTAATATTCGGCTCCAATGCCATAAACAGCTGATTAGCTTGATTGTACAATCAGTTTGTGTGGCTCAAGGTGTATTGTTGAAATTGTATCCTTGTGCATTCTTGTAAGATTGGCTATTGGATGTTAATTAGGAAACATCTTTTAGTCATTAATTTGTGTGTGTGTGCGTAGTCTCTTGCTGTGTGAGGAAAACATGTTTAGGTTAAGTGATTATTTTCATTTTTTTTTTGTTACACTAAGAAAACTATTAACATGCCCTGAAGCTCTATATACTCTATTTTTATCATGGTAAACACAATGAGCTAATTATTACATCTATCACTGTTAAATGTGACGGTTTTCATGTGAAGAAAGAAAACGTCCTTTGCACCACCTGATAATAGTTCCATGTAGGAGCTGAATCTGGTTGCGTTTGCAATTTGAACGGATTGCATTGTCACCTGTTTTTAAACCTTTTTGCTTGTCCGTAATAACGAAAATAAACTATTAAAAAATCTGTAAACGTTTAAAAGAAAAGGATTAATTATTTTAGAACCAAACTAATTTAGTTAACAGACTATATAATATAGGATAACAATTAAATCTTTAGAATATGAGGTATTAGTAAAAAAAAACTGCTAATAATTGATGTATTTTTATAAAAAAAGAATATCTTGTTAAGGCTCTGAGTTCACAGTATTAAGAAATTATGAGAACAAAACCACCATACTGCAAGTGTCCTAGAGTATAACAATATACATAAAACACGTAGCATTGTCTTAGCCTTTCTTTTCTTGTCAGAAGTGTTGTTGTGGGATAATCCAAAATTTAACGCAAGCTTGGTTAAATCTGCAGCTTTTGATAAAACTTGAAAATTGGCTCGAGTGAAGCTTACCGCGTTGTTGATGCCGTGTTGAAAAGTTGATATGACACGTGAAGCCACATCAAAGGTGAATCCTGGGCGCGCGTCGTGCGGAGACTGCCAACTCAGCAGCGCTCCCACGGGCACTGTAGCACGGTGTGTGGAATACGTGGAACCTCCAATCAGAGAGTAAACCCACATTATATACATTTTATTATTTACAAGGTAAGCTTGGATGAAAATACAGGGTGTCCCGTAACTCTATGGACACTTGTATATAGCGTTATTCCTTAGGTCAAGACAAACACATTTCACCATAGGAACATGGGTCTGTGAGGTGTCTAGTTTACCGACTGTCCAACGTAAAAGGAGTATTAGCACTGTTTAAATGGAGAAAAGTGGTCATACATTACGAAATCAACACGTTTCTCTGTTATTATTTATCCAATCTTAACAAATAAGGTATCATTGAAAACTACATAAAACTTACAAACCTTTTTATCTCCTGCAATTTTTTTTGTAAAGTTAACGGTTTTCGTGAAATTTGGCATCATTAAATGGGCGCCATTTCGAAACGGTTAATGATTTTTTAGTATAATTTCTAACGATAACAGGTCTTAATAAGATTAACATTTTTGCAAAATACCAAAGCTGTATCTCAAACCGTTTAGGAGTTATTAATGTTTTTGTAAAAAACACATAAATGCCGACAGTCGGTAAACTAGACACCACAGACCCATGTTCCTATGGTGAAATGTGTTTGTCTTGACCTAAGGAATAATGCTATATACAAGTGTCCAGAGAGTTACGGGACACCCTGTAGAATCCAACTGTACCCACAAGGTGTATCTAAAGGTTCTGAAGTATAAAGTTCAGCCGTCTCTTTTGTAAATTAAAAGTACATAAAAGGCATGCATTTGTTGAGAATGCGTTTTAAGAAAAGATTTTGTCTGTCAAGATAACTTTTCTTATCAATTGCCTTTAGCAATGTATAACGAATAATACCTACTTAGATGGTCCCAAAATAATTCTAGAGAGGGAATATGTAGAATAGGTGAAAGATATAAAACAGAAAATTATTTGTTTACTATTATAAGTTAGCTCCTAAAAAGGCTTTCAGTTTTAGCGAATTTCCCTATAGGAAAGTAGCTATTACCGTAGGTCTCATGGTAAGACCTAGGCCCGGGACCGATTTACTTTTTCATTTTGATGTCCCCAGAGGCCAAAAACACCATTCGTTCAAATTTTTATATATGTGTATATATATATATATGTGTGTGTGTGTGTGTGTGTGTGTGTGTGTCCATCCGCACGATAACTTGAGTAATGTTTTTCCGATTTTGATTAAATTTGGTTTGAAGTTGTAAGACGGGACAAACTTGAATGAGTTCGCGAACCAGCATGATCGGACTATGGGAACGGGGTTTAACGGGGGGTTTTATGGGGTAAAATTGTGTTTTTCTCATTTTTTACCCTTAAAACGCAAAATATATACATTTTTCTCCAGACCTTTTTAATGAGCTTAAAAAAATTAGTATATGAAAGTGTTTTTGTATGGTGATTGGTTACAGAGAAAATTCAAAAAATTGTTAATTTAAAATTCCCATGTTATTCTTATGGAGAATATTATAATATGTTGTAGTTGGCTTGTTTATGGATATATTTTGATCAAACTTGGCGGATTTATTTATTTCATACTAAGCTATTGATATTTTAATAAAAAAACCCACTTTATTAGTTTCCCTGTAGCAGCTAACCTAGGTACTCGTACTAACCTAGGTACTACATTAATGTTAATTTAATAGATTAATTGAAAATCAATCCAGGCGAATGGAAAATCGCTTAGTCGGCAGGTTTGCTGCAGCGGGGGTATTTTACCTTAATGTACTTAACATAATATTCTTTTTAATTTACCCTACCCATATGTTTGTTATTTTTAACATTTATTATTGTAAACATAACCTTCAGTTTTTGGGATGTGTATGATGCATCGATCTCTATTACTACAACGTCTGATGATGACAGCATAGCTGGCGAAAGCACTCATAAGTTTTTTTTTTTATATCGGTGCAGGTTCTATTTTAAATTATTTTCAAACCAATAAAAGTTGTTATTGTATTTGCCGAATGTTCTAAAAATGAACAGATTGTAAAATTGTGATGAAAAAAAAATGTTAACAGTTTTTCTTGAAGATATAACGTGTGTTTAAAACAAGTTAATTACTACTAACTGTAACTTGAATCAAGTTGTCCAAGTGATATTCTTTTAAAAACTCAACTTTGTGTTAGTGTAATGTGATTTCAATAAGAATAAGTATTGTGAATTCACATTTATAAGCAACATCACCACTAAGAAAGTTGATGGGCCCAAGTTGGTGGGACCCAAATATTTTTGTAGGAAAAGTTTTTGCGTGAACTTTTTTTAGTTTAGTGTGACAACGGTTTTTAATTTCAAATTTTTCACTTTTAAGGGAAGAATTCAAAACTTTTATACATTTTTTAACCTTCAAATTTCATAGCAAGACAAAAGAGATATTTCATTGTAATCGAGTTTATTTTTCAAATGTAACTCTTCAACATAAAAAATGCAGAGATTTGTCAATTATTGATCTTGTTTGCTCTATAGGTTAGTTACTTGTTGCTGCCCCGTTCTTTGTTTTCAACTTCTTTGCTCATCCTTCTATGACATTTGTGCGCGATACTTTCGCCTGAAATTTAGTCTTATTTCTTTGTGTGCTTCGCCCGAAGATTTTGTTGCTGCCCCTTTCTTGTCTTTTAACTTCTTTGCTCATCCTTCTTGGGATTTTGAGTTATTTATACCTGAGTTTCTATAAGTTTATTGTTGTTGCCCCTTTCTTTTCTTTTTTCTTCTTTTTGCATGTTGTGCGCCTTTTGGACATGAACCCTTTAGCCTTTTTTTTGTGTTTCGGCCCGGGTTTTTCTACCCCTTTCTTTTCTTCTTTGCGCGTGTTCTACGCCTTTTGGGCATGGCCCCTTCCTTTCTTCTTTGCGCGTGTTCTGCGCCTTTTGGGCATGGCCCCTACCTTTCTTCTTTGCGCGTGTTCTGCGCCTTTTGGGCATGGCCCCTACCTTTCTTCTTTGCGCGAGTTCTGCGCCTTTTGGGCATGGCCCCTACCTTTCTTCTTTGCGCGTGTTCTGCGCCTTTTGGGCATGGCCCCTTCCTTTTCTTCTTTGCCCGCTTTGGTTCTTCCTTAGCCTGTTTGTTCACTCCTCCTTACTGTCCGGCTGCACTGTTACCCTAGATGGTCGTGGGTGCTTGTGTCTCTGTAGCTTGTGTGTCTTAATGGTCCCCGCTGGGGCCCTGCACCTGCACCTGTGGCCCAACGTCCTGTAAACATATTTGCACATACATTAGTAAAATGTATTTCTGGCTTGAACTCATAGTTAATACTTCTCAGTTCCAACTAAATAATAACCAGCTAGACTCGTTCATGGAAGGGATCTTTGTTTGAGATTATCCTCTAATATGAGACGTACAATCTAAGGATTAAATGTCATGTAAATATATCAATTTACTTGAAATTTAATCTTTAGATTGTAAGAAAATAATCATTGGAAAACTCAAAAATATAATTCCAGAAGTTTGTATTTTGATTATGAGTAACCACTTTTATTTTCACTCATAATGCTATGATACATAATATTATGCCAAATTTCCGTATTTAAATCTGAAATATTTCTGTTGGCAGACCCCATGCCATTGCTTTTAAATACATAGCATTAATAATATCCAATCTATTACTGTTTCATTGAACAGTGTTTTTGGTTTTTATGATACTCTTTACATGATACTTCCATTCTTAAACTCAATCTTTTGCGAAAGCTTTCCTAAGAAATTAAACTACACTTTTAACGCTTGTAATCTGAATCAATATGAATACTCACGTCCAGCTCCTCGTTCGCAGGGTAGAAGATTTGGCTGTCGCTGGACGAGGAGCTGACGGAGGGGCTTGGTGTTGGGGCGGGTGATGGTGGTGGTGGTGCAGGTGCAGGCGGGCGCTCTCTGGTCATCCAGAAGTACCCCAGCGAGGCAGTGCAGCCGGCAGCGAGCAAACAGAGGATCGGGTGGTCCCTGAAAATGTATTTATTTTAATAAAGACAACCTTTTTTATCGATTCAATTACTAGATTCAACTGAGGGTGCATGTAAGTAGTGCATAGTTCATCCAGTAACATATCGTTGGTAACAAATAACAAGATCGCCACATAAGATTCTCCAAATACCATGTGTTCTATTTCCAGTAATGAGACTTTAATTATGAGTATAAACAGACTATGAGTGCAAAATTGACCCTATAAAACATTAAAAAATATCAAGTGCAAGAAACAACAAGACAACAAGAGTTTCTTAATTATAATTACATACACTATTATTACACCATTAAAATACACTATTATACTATTATTAATTATAATACATGGAATCATAATTACTCATCCAATCATTCGTAAATGCCATTAGAATGAGTTTAGTTGAGGAGATTGAAACTGCATTATGTTTAGTTAACAGTTTGTTATGAGTCATTTTTACTCAATACAACTAAAACACTCAAACAAAATTATCCTAACATCTTACAATACTACAAACATCCTACAGACACGTTTTTTAATATTATAAGACAATACGGTACACCAAAATATAATACTATCTTTCTTCTCTTTGTGGACTCAAGGAGAGGAAATTTCCAAATGAAGAAATCGTGTATTTATCTTTAATGAAACAACATAATTAAAATGTACATTATAATATTGATAAAATCATTACTCACCGAACAAAGTTAAGGACCATCATGAACGTGGAAAATTAGAAAATAGTATATAAGCAGCAGATAAAACTTGTAAAAATAGAGGCTATAAAAATATGCTAGTAGTTCCAAAGGTTGTAGAAAATACTCTGACCTGATGGTTACCATGGATTTGATAAAGTTGAAAGTAATAAACTTTGTTACCTATATTGGACCTTTGATTGAACTCAATTTGGGAATAGATAGATATTTTAGCTATTCACATACTGTAGGCTGCTACACATAAATTCGTGTTGGATACAAAATCCTGAGCTAAGTCCATCTTAACAGATAAATTCAAACATTTGCATGTGAATTTAAAAAGAGATGTACAAATCTTTCATACCCTGGGATATTTGTTTAGAGCTTGTTGTAAGCTGGCCACCATAGAGATCCTTCATATGAGAAAAAAAAAAATTGGAAAGTTGGTGCTAACAAGACTATTGTCAGACAACACTAAACAAACGGTCAGGATAAGCCAGTATTTGTGTGTTTACTTGCCTTAGTATACGTAGTCGGATTGTATCGGTACATTTTCAAACACAGACGTGGATTCTTTTTTGAAAATTACTTTCTTCTATAAAATGTTGTACACCTTTAGTATTTTATTTATCTTTCAGTAATAAATTGATTCTGATCTTACTGTTCGTCTGCAGCGACAGCTGTGATTTTTATTTGTATTTTTGTTTATTTTGAAATTAATGAAATGAATGTAAATCGTAAACTTAAAATAAAGGTGATACTAAATCTTGAAAAAGAATTACTAACCAACAGACAATATTGAACTCTAATTACTGTGGACGGACCTACTGTAGATAAGAGTGAGGTAGGGATCTCATACCAGAAACGTTCTGCGGATGGTGTGACTTTCAAAGGTAGTCGGGGGAGAGGAAATAGACAAAGTGCCATAAATCATCACATCAAACAGTAACAGCTACAACTGCTCCCAGGGCCAGAGAGTGCAAGCCACTGATATAAGAACTCTGACAATGGCCAACTCCTTGTGTTCTGCTCACTCACAAAATATTCTTACCACGGAACCAACACAACCCTGCACCTTAATCTCAACGAAATATGAACATCCAAAGTGAATCTGTCAACACTAGGTCCACTTCTTCTCAGTGACGACCTAGAGATGACAGACGAAGCCACTCACAACGAGGTGGAGCACCGGAGAAGAGAACAAATCAATCATTGGATCATTAGACTAATCAATTCATCCCAGAGTGTTCACAAGGCTTGGGTAAAGGCAGCTTTGAAACACATAGTAAAGGTAGGTTGATTGAATCTCCTTTCTGAATATTACACAGTAATTCAAAACCAAACGCAAGCAAGGGTCATTGAACAAGTAATAGGCTAGTGTGTATTTAGAGCAACACAAAAACTGATCTGGGATTTTTATTTTCTACATAGATTTTGAATTGATAACTAGAAAATGAAAAAAGGTAATGCACAAACTTACTCAAACCTCATTTAACTTATTAACTCATTTAACTTATTAAAGTGAAGCAGACCAATCATATATGTCTACAACTTAACAAAGACCTATTCACTACAAGTGTATGCAAACATGCCGTACCTACAGATATTCAACCCAGTTAGCAAACCTTAGCCATATTAAATCTTTTGACCTTAAAACGCTTAGCAAAACATTAAAAAACACTCCCATATTCAATTAAAATATGAATAAATGAGCAGGTAACAAACAATTCAGTTATTCCTCCATATCAAGCAGTCAAACTTATAATGTCAATAAAATATTAAAACTTGTATTTACTTACCGGACGAAGTCCAAAATCATCGTGAAGGATGAAATCTAGGAAGTGTAGACGTTAGAAAAATGTAAAAGTTTGGACAAAATGCAATACGATGTGACTTTAAGGACCACAGAAATAGCACTGAAAATATCGTTGCTATGGATTTGATAAAATGTACTTTTATTGTTAAAATCTTATAGAATGGCATGACGACTACCTTTGTTCGTTATAGATATAAAAATCTATTAATGTATTAAAATGTCTACTATAGTTAGATATGTATTTAATTTAAATACAGTAACATTTTCTTTGTTTTTATTTTCTTTACAAATGCAGGTGATATTTACCAATCAGAAATTATTAATTTAGTATATTTAGTTAATTCTTTTTAAGTAATGAAAATACTGTACCATTATCTACACATCCTAACAGGAATATTAAAGCTTTTTATATTGAACATAAAAAAGTAGCCTATACCTCACATTTAAAAATAAGTATATGTTTAATTTATAGAAGCTATTAATAACAAAGGCAGATTAAAACAAATTTTTCTTGGTATTTTTTATAAGTTTGATAAGGATTTGTTTAGGACGTTTAAATTTTGTAGGTACGTTCAAAGGGATAACTGGTAAATCATTGAAGTTCGATGAAATTATGCTTAAAAGCGACCATATTGATTATAGTGACCTGATATTTGGAAAACCTAATCAGCTATGGTATCTATAGTTGACTAATGCAGTTTAAATTGCAGTTTTTTGTATTGCTTGGTAGTAAGTTTTCTGTTTAGTGTGGCAGTGGCAGTACCTCGATAATTCAGCTTAAACGGGCAGCTAATCGGCAAGACCACCGAAAGACCATTGAAATAATTAAATTAATTAGATTGACCAAATGTTAGACAGCTAAAGACACTGGTATTAATTTAGTGAGAGTGGGTGGCAGCAAATATCTTGAAGTTATTATCATAAAAATCAAGAAGGTTGGCAAGCCTTTTAATTCATAGGTATGTCCGTTAGCACGATAACTCGAGCAAAAATGATCCGATTTTGATGAAATTTGGCACAAGCGTGTAAACCTACGTTTATTCAAACGAGTTCGCGATCCAGCATGATCGGACCATGGGAACGGTGGTTTACGGGGGGTTTTATGGAGTAAAAATAGGTTTTTGCCATTTTTGACCCAAAAAACATAAAATTTAACAATTTCTTTCCAAACTATTTTGTAGAGCTTAAAAAACACAAATAATTTAGTATATTGAAGTGTTATTATGCGCCTAATGGTTACGGAGAAAATTCCAAAAAATTGTAAATTTAAAATTCCCATGTTATATTCTTATGGAGAATAAGTAAACTGTTGTAGTTTGCTTGTTTATGAACATATTTTGATCAAATTTGGAAAATGTTTTTATTTCTTACTAACTATTAAATAAAAAAACAGTTTTGCCCTCCCCGATGCAGCAAACCTAAGTACTTGTTAAACTAATTCTATTTAAATCGGGGATAAATGTTATATTTTTAAGTAGACATTTCAGTGTAAATCCAATCAGTCAAATGGAAATTCGTTTAATCTGCAGGTTTGCTGCGGCGGTATTTTTCAGTTTGAACAGTTTTTATTATTCACAATCTATTGTTAATGCAAGTAAAGTGAGCAGTGGATGAACTGAGCTTAAAAGAATGATTTTAACCACACAAAGCATGTATTGAAAACTGTAGTTTTCTCTGTGTTATGACAAGAACACTATAATAATTTACTTGTGTGGTGGAGTGGTTGGATTGCCCACTTTGTGATTTTTGAAATCACCAGATCGTTTCATAGAATTGTCTTTGAAAAGTGTAAAGACCGATCGCATGGATTCACTAAACGTTGTTTTATTATTTAAAAAATCACAGTAGTTTCTTAAGACTTACATGAAAGAAATTATTCGTGTGAAATGGAACAAATATCTTTATGTAAAGAATAATAGAAAGTATACACTTTAGTCGAAGCAGAATTATTTACATTTTACGCCCAATTAAAATAGATAACACCGAAAGCAGTAACTTAAAGGTTTTATATTTCAACTACCCCATTGGATGTTCAGCCCATGAAGGGAAGCAGCCTTATAGATTTTTACGGCCATCCACCTTAAATATTGTCGCTCCCCTCACCATTCCGACACCTTCAATTCCCAGACCTCATGAACTTTCATTCCACCTCTTGCAGAATGCATTCGAATCGCTAACACATAAGTTCCTTTGTACCCGTTTGACATATTTACAATTCCTTCGGTTTGTTACATGCATAAAATGCAATTGTTACATTACATTTATTCGTTTATATTCTATTATTTCTATACTTATTCGATTTTCAGAACAACTGAAAATATGCAACATAGCACACTAAATAATTAATCTAGTCATCATTTCATCTACTTAAAAGAAATGTATCGCAATTACTTTTTAGGCATGGGTCTTTAACATGAATATAGTCATTTCAACTTTATGAAATCAAGGCTAAATAGGGTTCCAGCCATCTTTACAGGACAGTATAATTCCCATAATTCCACAGCTTCAACGTGGAAGTCCTGCTTAGTGAGCGTTCAATGAAGAAGATACCAAGGACATAAGAAACTCTGTATAGCTTTATCAGACATATAACGCCCTAGTTATTTTACAAACGGATTTTATAACAAAAAATACATTTTACTTTGGATATTTTCTGGTAAATCACATATTAGAGAACAATCAAGCAGGTAACTGCTCATACTAAAACACAAAATACACATAAACATTTTGTTGCTCTTCTTGAGATTCAAATTTAGGCCTAGTATTACTGTTAACAAATCACAATCATAGTTACTCAACACAATATATAACAATCGATAAATAATTTATTTTTGTAAAAAAATACAACGGACTTCAAACGCTCTAAAAAGAGTGAAATAATTTCAATAAAGTAAACTTTTGTATTGGTCAAGCTCTCGTATTTTAAGTCAGCGCGGCTCTATGATTCACAATACACCTTTATTTGTCAATATCATACAGCTATTTGCTGAAACATATATGTTTTAAGTCAGAATATTCAATACTCAAAACAGAATTACTGTATACACAAATCAGGTCAAACGTTAAAATTCTTTTTTATAGTAACTAAAACAAAATGCATTTTTTCAATGTAATTTATTTAGGCTCCATAGCAAGAAATAGTTTTGATATGAAGCAACTGTTTCATGAAGAATTGTCTGTAGCTTCATTTAAATGGTTTCAACTAACAACTGTAGGAATGTTATTATTATTTATTGCCTTCTCTGCACTAATAAAAACAAAAAAGATTTGGAATATTTGTGGTTTTCAGCATTTTTTACCGAAATAAATATTACACTTAAACATAATATATATATATATATATATATATGGGACCAAATAGAAACTCTCTTGGTTATTTTGGGGGTGGAACACATTGATCGGTAAAAGAATCACAGAGAAATTGGTGAACATATAGAAAAAAAACATCGCCACAAACAAATTGAGAACCTCCTCCTTTGGTTGGTAGTGGGGAAGTCGGTTAAAAATCATTACCTATTCTCGATCATTTGATTACACACCTTTGAAGTTTACAATTACAGAAATAGCTTAGGTCCTCGGCTCCTGCTGATTATTTTTCTTTCTAAGGAGAACAAAGGCTACTTAAGACCAGCAACGCATTTGTGTGAAACTCCTGGATAAAAATGTATGGCCAAATTCTTCGGGGCAGGTTCAAATAACCAAATTAGTTGAATGCTTATCGCAAAGAAATTATAAATGAATATCGCCGTTAGGGAGGCTGAATATGAGTATCTCACAGTACACGGAATGTAAATACAAAGCTGTTTGTTTTCTCGGGGTAACCTCAAACCACAACAACCGTTTAACCTCCCTCGAGAAACGATTAATGCCTTAATGTTGAACACGGTCCGTAAATTCGTCTTATTTAAATGTGTTGCCAATGTCGACCCAGATTAGGCACAAAGCTCCTTGGCAGAGCTACGCGTAGCTTTACATAAGCGGGTCGCTCTGGGAGTTAAATGTTGTCGGACCTGAGAGAAGGTTCTGCCTTCGCCTTGCTTTGTACTACATTTACATAGGAAAACATAGCACGTTTGCTCTCATGAATATGCTTTGAGTCATTAATCATGTTAAAACTTTATGAAAGTATAGGATATTTGTACATGAAATCAATTAAAATACCATTTGAGATTGTCTCCACTCGCGTCATGCTTCAACCATAGATCTCCATAGAGATATATGACCTCAACGCGCCACAGTTTAAGATAATACCGTAATTATTTTTTTTGTCACGGTGAATAAGTTTATTCCTCAAATACGTCATACACATGTAGATTCCCGTTGTAACAGATAAACATTTAGCTGTCTACTTTCAATTTTACAAACGTATTTTACGGTCAAGTTAAAAGTGTAATTTCTAACGGTAGGTATATTGCATTCTTTTCTTATTGCATATTTTCTTAAAAATTAGAAGTAATATACTTCTGGGACTGTTTTTTCTGGTTAGTTTTTGCAGTATCTTCTCGGCATCTCAGTATGGCCGAGCTCCACTCTTTACCCAGAAATGATGGCGAAATTGTTCGCAGACCGTAATGAAGCGTTTCCGGCCATAGGTTTATGTAAACTTGTAAATTAATATAACACTATTTACTAGAACAGTCTTAAATGTGTAGGCATATCTACCATTTTCAATTATCAATTATCAATCGTTGAGATGGAGACTTTAAAGGTAACCAATTTGCATGATAAAAATGAGCTACTGATTTGCTCTTACATCATAACGGTGTAATGTATTTTCATATCTGGACGTCCTAGTGTACAATTAGTTAGGCCTTAGTTTGAAAATGTAAAAAAAAACGAAGAACTAGTTTTGGGATTTATTAATTCATGAATATTGTAGCAATTGAAAGTTAAAAAAATGGGATGATTTTGTTTAGCGAAAATATAAATCCACGTTTATTATAATTACGATCCACGATTCACGATTTATAATTAATAATTCGATAGTTGACAACTTTTAATTCAGGCTGCTTAGCATGGACAGTGATAGAAACTAATTCTCCATTATTCTGTGGTGAAGACTTATCGAACGTGGTTAT